GGCAGCTGGGTAGGGATAGTAAGAGGACACCAGCCTAGTTCTCAAGGGCTGGGCATCCAGCTAATGAAGCACACATGTGGCTAAGCCATGAACTGAAAGCTGAACTTGAATTTCACTAAAGCAAATGCTGTATCCAAACATCCCCAGAGATGGGCTGGGGTGGAAGGAAGTGCTCGGCACAGAGGAGTCCTGAGAGGCTGTTCACAAGGGAGCCTGGCACCTACCCCAGGGACCCAGGAGGAGGGCCTTGAGGAGTCCTGCAAGTCTGCTCTGAGTCCCTCAGTTGAGGTCCCAGCGCTCCCTGGAGCTCCCAGGCTGCACAGCACCTGTACCTGTGAGCTTTCCCTTCAGCCTGTCAAGAACTCCGATCCTCAGCCGTGGCCGAGCCTGAGCCCCACTCACTGCCTGTCCGTCCTCAGCAGCTTCGGGGGGGCCTCCCCAGCCAGGGAAGTTTCTCAGTCTTCCAAAAGGAAGGTGACGAACTGCAGGGGTCGCTGTCCCACCTAGCAAACCTGAGCAAGAGAGGGGAAGGGAGTCGCCCTCTCCTGGGCCTGGGGTGGGGGCCAGAGGCCAGTTGGCTGAGTGGCGGGGCGGGGCGGGGTGTTTCCCACCTGGGCCAGAGCTCACAGAAGCCTGCAGCACACCTGGAGCCGCCGGGCCCCACGGCGTAGTCCAAGACACGGGTGGGGTGCTTTATCCTGAAGTGCACACAGGCTGTGAACTTCAGACCCACCCCCAGACTAGAGAAGAGCAGGCTGGTTGTGCATAGTGTGGCCACAGGCACAGCAGCCCGAGCAGCTGCTGGCTGGGGTGGTCCTGCCCGACCTCTAGGTCCTAGAGGCACCTGCCACTGACCCAGGAGGCTGAGGCGTCAGGACTGGTAGCAGCAGTGCCCAGAAGTCCTGGCTAAGGACACAACTAAAACTGAACTGGATCCTTTAAGCACGACACTCAAAGTGGCTGAAGCAAGGGTTTCTGGGGGAGCCAGAGTCTGACACTGGCCCCACATGCTACGGCGATGCCCTGAACTCCAGAACCCCCACCAGGCCCTTGGGAAGACATGGCTAGGGAGCCGCCCAGGGCTGGAGGGACCCTGGAGGCTCCTGCAAGGGAAGGGAACCTGCAGCAGCATCCCAGCCACATCCGGGAGGGGCCCGCAGGCCACACAGCATGGTGACCCCTGGGCAGCAGGCACTCCCTGCTCGTGGAATTCAAGCTCACGAATGTGGGGAGTTAGAGAAAAGTCAACCTCAGGAGAGAGAACGTGACCTGGAGCGTCCGGCAATTTCAAAGTTGGCATTTTTGAGTCAACAGTGTGCTTTTACGAAAACTCCAGGGGGTCTGTCTCCCAAACCACCGACTACTGTCCCTTTAACTTCTGACCCAGATGACCTCTGCCCTGCCTAAAACTCGGAGCTGCAGAGATCTTCCCACCACACCAAAGCATATTTCCCAAGTGAGGGCATGTTCTGGTCTGGGCAGAATGTGCCCTCTTGGGACCCCACAAGAGGTGTACCCCAGGGCTGAGGGACACTTGGATCGCTTCCCTGCAGACTCCACAGGCTTGGGCACCAACCAGCCCAACTTCGTTAGCACTACAGGGCTGTCTACTTTGTTTCTTAACTGCTAATTTGATGTAGAATATACATAGGAAAGAAAGAATGAAAATGTCTCGGGTCTCCACTACTGAGCACAATTGCCGGCGGACCTTTGTGTCTAGATTTCCAGATCAGTTCTGGAGAAATCTCAGCCTGGGATGGGGCTCTGGGGCCTGCCACTCCAGACGTAACCATGAAGGAAGCAGGTGCAGAGCTCAGGGAGCCAGGGTCTCTGCACAGCCCCAGATGGCTCTGCGGGGCCACGGGCTAGACCAGGACCCAGGGCCCGCACTGAGCAGGAGCCGTCTTCACCACAGAACCCTGTGGAGAGGCAGCAGTGTCAGCGCCACACAGGACCACAAGCCCTGAGTGCAAACCGCATCCCCATCCTGACCTGGACGCGGGGAGACCGAGAGGCAGACACTCGGGGAATGTTCCTGCAAGGACTGAGGAACCTGCAGTAGATGCTCACTTGCTTGTGTGACTTGCTCTGCCCTTCAGCTGTCCCTCTAGGCCCTGGGGGGCAGCACCCTGGGGTGGAAGCCAGGTGTCCCCCTGGGGCCCTATGAGCTTTCAGCAGACTCCCGTTCCTGTCACAGAGTCACTGGTGTATGAGGGGATGGTGACAGGCTGCCATAGGAGGGCTGGGCACCCAGCTTTGCAATGTGACAAGTTCACATTCTACAGCAGGAGAAGGTCTTTTAGTGGCACAGAAACTTCCCAAAGTCACTTTCCTGGAGACAGGACAAGGCAGGGGAGAGGGGCTTGTTCTCCTGGGGGAGTCTGCTCCAGCAGTTCTTAGCTCAGACTTTGAGGGGGCAGCTGGCAGCCTCTGGCCCGCACTGGAAAAGGAGAAGGGGACGCTTCCTAGGACCGCATTGTAGCCACCGACAGGGCCATGCACCCAGGGCACCAGCCAGCCCATCCCACGGGGAAGGCCTGGCGCACGTGGACCCCGAAAGCAGCTTTTGTGAGTGAGGAAGAGGGCAGGGGCTGCCTTCTCCCTTGCCAGTGGAGAGTCTGTGGCACATCTTTGTAGAAGGGCTGGGCTCTGGGGCTCTCGCCAGGTCAGATGCACAGTATGGGCTCCTTGGCTTCCTACAGTGACTTTGCCAGAGGAGTGTCCGGAGCATTGGCTCTTAAAGGAGAGGCTGAGCTGGGAGAGCTTGTGGGCACAGGGGAGGGGCAGCCCTGGCTTCCTGAGCATCGTGCTGGAGGAGTGAGGTGTCCAGGGCCTCCAAGGGCCAGGCCCTCAGCTCTGCTCCTCAGCCTCCCACAGGTCTGGCACCCTCCTGTCACCTAGACTCCAGCAGACACCTCCACAGAGACCCACTGCCTCTGGGCCTGCCCCCAAGCTGAGGCCACAGGGACCCTGAGCTAGCCCTAGCACGCTCTTCCTGGGATGCCCAGACCAGTGGGGCTGCCACCGCCCTGTCCTCCACCTTCCACGTCCCTGGGCCTCCTGCTGACTCTGAGCAAGGTTCCAAATGGCCTCCCATCTCCCTTGGCCTCCTGTAGTCAGCTGTACACCAGGGAGCTAGACGCTGTCCTTCACTTCTAGGAGCTCTACTCTTCAAATCGGCAGGGTCGTTCCTTTCGGCCTTGGCCTGCTCAGCCTGGAGTCCTGCTTCTGCTTCCACATGTCAAGCTGGGTTACTGGACCTCGGCTGCAGACGCCAAGGGCCATGAGCTTCTTTTGCAGGTCGACTCAAGGCTCTGCACACCTGCGCTCTTTCCCTTCCAATCCTGCTCTTTGGGACTTAGTGTGTGTTGGAAAGAGGGGGTTGGAGGTGCTCAACCACAGCAGACACTAACCGGCTTCTGGCCAGGGCCCATGTGGAGTGGGGCTGCAGAACCACAGCCCTCCCAGGCTGCAAACTCGTGAGGAGCAAATGCCCGGCGGCGGGGCAGGGGCCGTTCTGCCGACCCCTCTCTGTGCCTGGGGCCTGGGCCCTGTGCCTGTCTGTCTGAGCTCTGTGAAGCACTTGCCCAGCCAAGAGCCAAGAAGTGGGAACGTGGACTGCCGGCGAGGGGCTCTGTCTGTGGACTGCTTGCTCCTGGCCGTGGGCACGCCTCCTTTCCTGTGCCAAAGGCAGCTTCTGGGGCCCCCAAGCCAGAAACCATGATTTCTGCGAAATGTTGGAAGACAGTGGGCCCTGCCTCTCCACCTCACCTGAGAGTAGACCCCGACGGAGACGACGGAGACGAGTCCCACGGACCCCTCAGCAGTCTGGAGAGGAGCCAGCCTGGCCAGGACCCAGGCAAGTCCCAGGTGCACCCTCCTCGGGCCTCTGGCACACCAGGTGCAGGCAGCAGGGAAGTCTCCTGCATGAACCGGCTGCAACTCAGGGCAGGCTCCTCGCCCTCCTGCCTCTCTACCTGGAGACTCAGCCACTTCACCGCCAACCCCAGGCTCGCCCTGGACTGACTCCAGACCCCCACCAGCCCTAAGGGTCCCAGTCAAAACAATGGAAGGGGGTGGGCATACACAGATGGAAGGGCCAGGGTGACGGAGCAGCCTGGGGCCAGGCCTCGGCCGCTGCCCAGCACTGGACAGCCTCCAGCCCACGAGGAGGGTGCTGCCACTTGGAAGTCAACAGCCAGGCAACATTCAGCTGCTAAAAATGTTCTCAGAAGGAAAACAGCTGTTTTGAGACCCCAAGCCCTGAACTCGGGCTGAAGGGGAGTCACTGGTTCCAGACGGCTCCTCTGGTCCCGTGGAGTGCCTGCTTGGCAGGCTGCCTGCCCACCAGACAGCGGCCCACTCCGCTGACACGGAGGACGGACAGGCTGCCCAGGTCTCCTGCCGGGGCTCTGAGCCCCTGCACAGCCACGCTGGCCTCCCTGTTGCCACTTTCTGTCCCCACCTGCTCCCGCCACCAGGCACAGGCCTCTTCAGTGGCGCCTGGGCTGGAGCTTGTCAGAAGACAGGCTGGCTCCCCTGCCCAGGACATGCCATCCTGACCAGTCCCCACAACCCCATCACAAGGGAGGCTCAGACCCAGGGCCGGTCAGTTCTCCTACCAATGCCGTCATCTAACTGATGGACAGATGTTTTCTAGGCCTCTTAACTAAGTCACCTCAGTGCCCCTATAACACACTCTCCTGAGGAAAATGCAAAAGGAGATGTTGAAAAGAAAACTTCTAGAATGTTCTCCCCTCTCAGAAACCCCTTGACACTTTCCTGGCAGTGGTCTCTACTGAAAAGAGCAACTGGTGTTGGTGGGAAGGGGTGGTGGCCAGCTAGGAGCATCCAGCAGACACCAGGGCCCAGGTCAGAAGCTCCCAAGTGACCGCCTGCCAGCAGAGCCCTCACATCTGGGCCGACGGCCAAGAACGCGGGACGTGGCGGGTGCCACAGAGGGAACCCGGTGGCTAACAAGTAAAGGCACAGTGGCTTACCAGAGTGACTTTTCCACAATTTTGGTCCTGAAGACCTCCTCCTGGTCCAGGTTCACTGTGCAGTAGCAGTCCCGCATCTTGTTGGGCCCAGGGTAGGAGGGGAGGTTCTTGGCTTCACCTAAAGAGAGAAGACGACATGTATCGTCACTTGGCACGCAAACGCTCAGCACCTCCCAATCACAGGGACATTTCCAAATAACAAACTTACTTCAGGCAAGGCATGTGATTCAACCTCTGTACGTCCACTCACTCTGCTTATTCTTGGTTGTTTTTAGATATACATGACAGCAGTGTGTATTTTGATATATTATACATACATAGGGACATAGGGTGCATCACATTACAACTTTGACCCCATTCTGTGGTTGTACATGGTATGGAGTTACACTGGCCGTGTATTCATATATGAGCATAGGGAAGTTACTTCTGATTCATTCTACTGTCTTCCTATTCCCATGCCCCCTCCCTTCCCTTCATTGCCCTTCATCTAATCCAATGAACTTCTATACTTCTCCTCCCTATCCTCCCTTGTTGTAGGTTAGCATCCACATATCAGAGAAAACATATAACCTTTGGTTTTGGGGACTGGCTTATTTTATTTAGCATGATATTATCCAGTTCCATCCATTCACCAGCAAATGCCATAGTTTCATTCTTCTTTAAGGCTGAGTAATATTCCATTGTGTATATGTACCATATATACACAATGGAATATTACTTTATCTTTATCCATTTTCTTTATCCATTCTTCTGTTGAAGGACACTTAGGTTGGTTCCACAGCTTGGCTATTGTGAATTGAGCTGTTATAAACATTGATTTGGCTGCATCACTGTAGGATGCTGGTTTTAAGTCCTTGGGTATAGACCGAGGAGTGGGATAGCTGGGTCAAATGGTGGTTCCTATCCTAGTTTTCTGAGGCATCTCCATACTGCTTTCCAGAGGGGTTACACCAATTTGCAGTCCCAGCAGCGATGTATGAGTGTGCCTTTTCCCCACATCCTCAGCAACATGAATTGTGTGGGTCCCTGTGCACCCTCCACTGGTCCTTCCTGTTCAGAGCAGCTCCCAGAAACATCTGAACATGTTTGGAGAAAACAGATGGTGCCTCAGGGCACCAGCGCCCAGTGGCCCTGCAGAAGGCTCCTGCCCTGGCTCTGCCTCAGGGGTTTGCAGGCCCAAACAGCAGGTCTGACGCTGAGCGTGCTGGAAGGATCATCTAGGACCTGGGCTCACCTCAAAGAGCCACGTCTGCCTCTGAGCCACTCTGACACTAGCAGCACCTGGCACTGGGCTCCACTTGCATCAGGCACAGGTTGGGAAAGACAGATGCTGGACACCCCCTGGCCAGTGCCACTGGGGGCACACACTGATGCCTGCCAGCACTGCTCAGGGACCAGGGAGTTGTCTCCTGTTGACCCTGAAAACAAAATGAACCAAACCAATCCAGACGGAAGCCCCTCAGCACCCCGTCTTCAGAGTGGAGAGCACCACACCAGGGCCAGTAGTCGCCTCGCACACTGTGGCAGGGGAACTGCAGCTCCACTGGGCCTCTGCACGCCAAGGCCCGGTGCTGCCACCAGGGGCGGGGACAGGAGGCCTGCTCACTGGAGAAGTGCCAACTTGAAAGTGGAGCCCAAAGGCAGGACAGATGCAACTTGTTGCTTCTTTTAGCTTTTCATTGATGCAGTTTGGACGCAGAAGTCTAACTGGGTGAGGTTTTCGGTGTCAATGAACCCTGTCTGCCATGCACTGACATGCTTTGGGGTGTGTGTGTGACTACACCAGCTGTGACCTCAAGAGCTGCCTGGGGTCTCACCCTCATGTGACCTTTCCCATGCCGTCTGTGTCTGGGACCTCAGGCTCCTCCCCTGTGAAAGCAGAACTCAACTCTGCCCCTCTGCTCCAAGACGCATCTAGACCAGAAGGCCCTGGGATTCATATTTGGGAATCACAGAGGAACAATCGATGGCTATCAGCTGTGCAGGGAGAACCCAAAGGAGGCCTCTGGAGCTGCTGCCCGTGGGGGCTGCCCTGGCGGCTCTCCTGACGGCCTCTTGTTGGGGGGAGTCATGAAGACACGGTCTGGTGAGGGCTGAAGAAACCCGCGAGCTCCAATAGGTCCGAGGCAGACCTCCTGCAGCACCTGTGGCAGGAGCCCCCCACGCACACGCCTGGTGGAATCACAGGCCAGGAGGAGAAGCAGGCCCAGAATGGGAGGGGGGATGGGGAGACTGCTGATGTCCAGGCAGCCCTGTGACCTCCCAGCTCTGGATGGGGACTGATGGCTCTCACAAAGTCCAGAAATCTGAACCCGAAGCTAGCGCCATTCTGCTGACCTTCAGCCCCAGCCTTCGAAGTGGGTTCTGGCACCTTTGCATTCTCACTTGCTTTCCGTTTTGGGTTTTCTGGGCTTTTTGTTTTGGTTGGTTTGTGTCTTGTTGTGGCAATGAGTGTGGATGTTGGAAGTTCCTATGTTTCTCAGGGAAAAACTTTGGAAGTCCTGTGGGAAATGGTCTTCAGTGGAAAACACAGAGTTGAGATTTTTTTTTTCCTGTTTATTATGCAAAGAACCTCCAGACACAAGCAGCGGGAGTCACTTTCCGGCAAGGTGCCTTTGGCGGAGAAAGCAGGGTGCGTCCTCTGAACAGCTTGTGAGACAGGCACCAACTGGCATCGAGTCTGGACCAGCCGGAAGCATGCTGGTTGCTATGGTAACAGCAACACCAGAGAGTAACTGGTCAGCTTGAGCCAGGTCAAGCAGGCCCCTCGGACCAGGAGGACCAGAGCAGCTGCCATGCCCCCTCCAGGCGGTGTCCCCTGGCAGGTTCCCCACTGCTGGGGGCTCCACCTGGCCCAGCAGAGCAGACCCAGGAGCAGTGAGTCATCCAAGAGGAGCCACGGAGGAGTGCAGCCAGCTCCCGGGTGCTGAGCCCTGGCTGCACGCCCAAGGCCAAGCCTTCCCTCCTGACCATGCATCATGGCCTCCTCTGTCTGCTCAGAGGAAGAGCATGTTGTTCCTCCCTCTAGGCACACAGCTGCCCACAGAAGGAGGGAGAGCCGCCCTGGCACCCAGCAGATGCTGAACTGCTAGGGAGTGCACACACAGGTGAAGGAAAGCAACTCGGGCTCATCCCCAGAGCTGCCTGCTGCATCCCTGCAGCTCCACCCCTGTCCACACAGCTGGGGACGCCCATACCTGCTCACCAGCCCTCTCCACTCTCAGTGAACAACAGAAGCCAAAGCAGCACTTGAAGAATGATCACACAGATGTAGACCGTGAAGCAGCACAACCCAATTCCCAGCACCAGGACCGCCAGCTCTGTTCTCGCCCACTTAGCACAGTGACTGACCACTCTTGAAACGATGCATGAACAGTTCTGTGCCCAGAGCCCTGGCCCCCTGGAGGCCAGCCTCCCTCACGGACCCACCAACAGCACCCACCGCTCCGGCCTTAGGCAAGCCTGCAGCCATCCCACCTGAGCACATGTGTCCTAGGCTCCGACACTTGGCAAGACATTGCAACAGCCATGTTCTCAAGAAGAATGGCGCTGTGCCCCAAACCCCTGCTGTTGCAGCGCCCACGACCACCTTGCCCTGCAGCCCTTGGTGCCGAACTGAGCAGAACTCCACCAGCAGGCCGGACAGAACTGCTTTCTTCTCTTTTTTTCCTAGTTATTCTAATTTGTTATACATGATGGCAGAATGCAATTCATTTCATATTTCACATATAGACACTGATTGTACACAAAGTATTTTCACACCATTTGTGTCTTATACATGTACTTAGGTGATGATGTCTAATTCATTCCACTGTCTTTCCTGCCCTCATGCCTCCTCCTTCCCCCTCCCGCTACTTTGCCCCATCTAGAGTTCCTCCATTCCTCCCATACTCCCCCACAATTCTCATTATGAGTCAAGATCCTCATATCAAAGAAAATATTCGGCTTTTTGGTTTTTTGGGATTGACTTGCTTCACATATCATTATATTCTCCAACTTTATCCATTTGCCTACAAATGCCATCATTTTATTCTCTTTTAATGATAAGTAATGTTGAATTTTGTATATATACCAAAGTTTCCCTATTCATTCACCTACTGAAGGGCATCTAGGTTGGTTCCATAATTTAGCTATTGTGAATTGTGCTGCTATAAACATTAATATGGTTATGTCCCTGTAGTATGCTGTTTTTATACCTTTGGGTATAAACCGAGGAGTGGAATAGTTGGGTCAAATTGTAGTTCCATTCCAAGTTTTCCAAGGAATCTCCATACTGCTTTCCAGGTTGGCTGCACCAATTTGCGGTCCCACCAGCAATGTATGAATTGCTCTTTCCCCACATCCTCGCCAACTACTTATTGCTGTTTGTATTCTTGATAGCTACCATTCTGACTGGAGTGAGATGAAATCTTAGAGTAGTTTTGATTTGCATTTCTCTAATTGCTAGAGAAGTTGAACATTTTTTTCATATGTTTGTTGACTGATTGTGTATCTTCTTCCAAGAAGTACCTGTTCAGTTCCTTGGCCTATTTATTGATTGGGTTATTTGTTGTGTGTGTGTGTGTGTGTGTGTGTGTGTGTGTGTGTTAAGGTTTTTGAATACTTTATATATCCTAGAGATAAGTGCTCTATCTGATTTGCTTGTGGTAAAGATTTGCTCCTATTCTCTAGGCTCTCTATTCATGTCACTGATTGTTTCTTTTTCAGAGAAGAAGCTTCTTAATCCATCCTGTTTATTGGTTCTTGGTTTTAATTCTTGCACTATAGGAGTTTTATTAAGAAAGTTGGGGCCTATACCAACATGATGGAGATTTGGGCCTACTTTTTCTTCTATTAGGTGCAAGGTCTCTGGTTTAATTCCTAGGTCCTGGATCCACTTTGAGTTTTGTGCATGGTGAGAGATAGAGGTTTAATTTCATTTTGTTACATGTGGATTTCCGGTTTTCCCAGCATTTTTTTAAAAATAGGCTATCTTTTCTCCAATGTATGTTTTTGGTGCCTTTGTCTAATATAAGATAACTAAAGTTATGTGGGTTAGACTCTGTGTCCTGTATTCTGTACCATTGGTCTACAGGTCTATTTTGATGCCAATAACATGCTGTTTTTGTTACTATTGCT